CAACACACATAGCGTATCATTGAGATTGGTCAGTTTTGACATTCCCTGAGCTTAGAATGAGCCATCCAAAAGGTAGGAAAAGGGGGCCTGACCTTTACCCTGGAAAAGAGCTAGAGGTGGAGGTATGTCCACTGGACCCAGATTCCTGTCGTAGAGCCTCCAAGATGCAGGGGATGGAGACCGAGTAGTGCCACAGTGGTGAGGGCAGTGAGAGGCACCAGAGCCAGAGACCCACAGGTGACAGGGCAGAGGGAGAAAGCTGGGTACCTGCATGCAGGCAGCCTTCTGGGCTGGGGTGAAGTGGGAAGAGGGGGTGGGGAGAGCTGGGTGGAGTGGGCTGGGCTGAGGAGGGGTGGGGTGGGGAGAGCTGGGTGGAGTGGGCTACGGTGGGCTGGGGTGGAGTCTGGTGAGTGGGCTCTGAGGTGAGGTGGGGCAGGGTAGACTGGGCTAGGATGGAGTGTGGTGGGCTAGGGTAGGCTATGGTGGAGTGAGGTGGGCTGTGCTGGTAAGGTCTGGGTTAGGGTGGGCTTTGCTGGGATGAGCTGGGGTGTAGTGAGATGGGGTGGACTGGGCTGGGGTGGAATATGGTGGACTTAGGTGGGGTGGGATATGATGGGCTGGGGTGGACTGGGTTGGGGTGGGCTGGGCTGAGGTGGGGTGGAGAGGGCTGGGGTGGGGTGGGCTACAGTGGGCTGAAGTGGGGTGGGCTGCGGTGGGGTAGGGTGAGCTGGGGTGCCGTCCAGCTCATGGTGGAAGGAGGCAGGGTCACTGAGCAGAGTCCAGGAGCCAGTACCTGCAGGCTACATCTGACTGCAGAGTACAGTACCTCCCAGAGCCTCCCAGCCTTCCCTGGTAGAGCTAAAAGTGCTTTGTGACATTGCTGGAGCAAGGCAGAGGCCAGGCCATGGGACAAGAGGCTGGGGGCCAGAGAGCGGGCCATCTGCAGGATGGCTGAGAAGATGCTGTCCAGATGGGAGAATGGTATCTGAAGGTCTAAGCTACGGCTTTGCTAATCAAGCCCCTAGATGGGAGTGCTGTCAGAGTCCCCTGTGGCCTCTGCGGGGGAACTGCGGGACCAGCCATGGGGAGAGCAGGCAGCAGCAGGAAAGGGGAGGCTGGCTCCTGCCTCACAGGATCCCTCTTGGGCTTTTACAGCCTTAGTCTCTGTGGGAGTCGGAGGTCAGACATTCTGACACCACAGATTTATCTGACAATGAAGCTGATTTCTGTTCTCAGAATGGTACCATAAAATCAGAACCTCTCTCCCATTTTCCTGTAAATCATCTAAAAGCAAAAAATTCAAACTTTATTCTCTTTAGAGCCGAGAGGTCAGCTGCTGGGCGGGTGGTGGGGAAGCGGAGGGCAGGCGTGAGAGGAGCCAGAAGGCTCACTTCAGGACGAGGCCGGGTCCTTGCGTGCAGCAGAAGCAGGGTGGTGGCGAGGGCTTCCCAGGCTCAGCTCTGTGAGGCGGGGAGACTCAAAGGAGCCACCATGAGCGTGGGAGTGGAGGGCGGGGCTGTGTCTGTGCAGAAGCCCACAGGGGCTGCACGGTTGGGATTGTTTCTTTCCTGTCCATCATCTTGGACCAGACCACAGGGCCAGGTGGGAATGTGCAGGTCAAGGGACTCTTTAGGGATCCACCTGCTCCCCTGGGGTGTGGCCTTCAGATGCCTCAACTGTGTACAGAGGGTTCACGGCTGATCAGTTCTTCTATGTCATCAACAGCTGTGGTGCCAAAAGAAGAGGGGGAGCTGGCCACACTGTGGGGACTTTGGTGAGGTGCAGCTTGCTAAGGCCCGGAGCTAGAGGCAGAGTTAAGGTTCAGGAGCAGGACGACGCCTGTCTGCGGTGAGAGACAAAGCTTGGATGACTGAGGTGGCTAGAGGCTTCCATCAGTGCTGCGGGACTGAACCAGGACTTGCACTTGCTGATGGAGAAGCTGCCTGAACTAACTGAGAAATTGGGTCTTGCTGTTAATCTGAGTTGGGACTGCTGGCCTGAACCTGGGCTTTCGCCGTGTGATGTTCTTTGCACCACCCCCTCCCCTGTTTCCCTAATAAATCCCACAGTTGTGAGTAAAGTAATGTGTGCAAGTGAATTTGCAATGAACATTGAACGCAGTGACACTGTGGGTGTCACTGATGGGGACAGTTCCCCTTTGTCTAGGTAACTGTGATTGGATATGGCCTTTTTGATTCTTCCCCCGCCCTTTTTACAGTCATGGATATGGATGTTTATTGGTAAACATTGATAAACATTGGTAAAGATGAACTACACAAACTCTGAAGAAAACCACACAGATGCAACCAAAACCAACAACATCTGTTAGAGGGGAGAGACCCAGGGCTTCAAGGCAATCCAGCACAGTGCGGGCACTTTCAAACAGTGTCACTAAGTAGTCATGTTGCTGTTACGTGTCGTTGAGTCACCTGCGACTCATAGTGACCCTATATACATAGCTCTGAACCCTGATTTATCCTGTGACAACCTTATTGTCTCTGACACACCTACCCTCATTACCCCAGTCACTGAATCTATCCATCTCATCCACGGTCTTCCTCTCTTGCTGAAGATTACCAAAAAAAAAAAAAAAGCTAGAACAGTATCTCAATACAGAGTTGCCAGAAATTGAAACTGTCTTTAGAAGAGGCTGCAGCATCAGAGATATCATTAATGATGTCAGATGGATCTTGGTAGAAAACAGAATACTAGAAGGATGTCTATCTGTGTTTTAATATGTAAACACATTTGACTGTGTGAATCACAACAGATTAAGACAAACATTGAGAAGAGTGGGAACCTCAGAATACTTACTTGTGTTTACATGAAACCTATCACTAGACCAAGAGGCTGCTGTGCAAACAGAGTAAAGGAACACTGCATGGTTTAAAATTAGGAAAGGTGTGGGTCAAGCTATGTCCTTTATACCTAATCAATCTGCATACTGAAAAAATCATTCAAGAGACTAAATTTTATAAAAAAGAATGTGGCCTCAGGATCAGAGGAAGAGTCATCAACAACCTGTGTTATGTAAATGACACAACCCTGCTTGCTTTTATAGTGAAGAGAACTTAAAATGTTTTCTGCAGAAAATCAAGGACTATGGCCTTTAATATGGATATCATCTCAACACCAAGAAGACAAAAATCCTCACTGCTGGGCCAAAAGGCAACATCATGGAGGAGGCAACATTGTGAAGGACAGATGGAAGAAAGATTGACGTCAGAGGTTTGACCCTCTTTTGATCCACAATCAACACACTTGGTAACAGTCACGATTGAAAGACATGATACTGGAAAATCTGCTATCAAGAACTCTTCAAGGTGTTATGGAGAAATGATGTCAGTCAGTTTAAAGGCTAAGATGCCTCAACCACAACAGCAAAGTTCAACAGGACAACAACACCAAATGCCGGCGAGGTTGTTGAGAGATTGGAACCCTTATTCATTGCTGGTGGGATTGGAAAATGGTGCAACCACTATGGAAAGTAGTCTGGCGCTTTCTCAAAACATTGGAACTAGAAATACCGTTTGACCCAGCAATTCCACTACTGGGAATATACCCTAAAGAAACCAGACTGCCACCCAAACAGATGTATGCTCACACATGGTTACTTCCGTGTTATTCACAATAGCAAAGAGACAGAAGCAACCCAAGTGCCCATCAACAAAGAATGGATTGAAAAACTGTAGTACATTCACACCATGGAATATTAGGGGCATTGAAAAACAATTGAAAATCACTTCACAACATGGGGGAGACTGGAGGACATCATGCTAAGTGAAAGAACTCAGTCACTAAAGGACAAACATCGCATCACATCAGGGTTACAAAACAGGACAGACACGAGGGGACTGGGGAGAGAGTGGGAAAGGAGTGGACAGGCAGTGAACACTGCATGGGAACCGATGCTGTCTGAAAGGAATCTATAACTAGTCATTGTATGAATGGCAACCATCTGGAACACTGCAGGGTGGGCTGGGGGGAAATTGCAGCAATGGAAAAATATTATTAGAAAAGAAAAAGATCCAAAAGCCTAAGGTGCACAGGATCCACCCACATTCTTTACAACCACTTGCTGTGCACCTGAGCACTGGACAGTGAACGAGGATGCCAAAAGAATCCATGCATCTGTGCATCTTTGACTGAAGGTGTTGGCGCAGAGTGCTGGCGATCCCGGAGCGATCTCGGGGTGGTCAAAGAACAGGCACATCTTGGAGAAGGTGCAGCCAGGGTGCTCGTTAGAGGCAAGGATGGTGAAACTCTGTGTCACATATTTCTGGCCTGTTGTCAGGAACAGCAAGTGCTTGGAAAAAGACATCATACTCAGAATGACGGAGGGTCAGTGGAAGAGAGGAAGCCCCTCCAGGAGATGGACTGACCAATGGCCAGAGCAATGGGCTCAACCCAGTCAGTGATGGTGAGGTTCCAATCCATTGTGCAGGGTGCGGAGACGAGCTGTCATCCACTTACAGCACCAACAACCACTCATCTCCAGGACAGACACTCTAGGGGGTTTCCACAAGGTCTAAACTGCATGAGAAGCGACTGTCCATTTTCCTTCTGGGAGCAGTTGGTGGGTCCAAACGGCCTGCCTTCGGCTTTCTTACTGCTGGGCCACCAGGGCTCCCCTCTAGCAAACCAAAGGGAGACAAGCCTTGTGACAGTAAACATTCACCGCTAACACTTCTGAGGGGACACATGGAAAACACAGCATGACATTCTGTCACGAATTAAAAACTACAATGAACCAACTGCCTCTAAGAGGCAAGAGCACAAAGCAGAGACACAAGAGCTTGGCCCAGAGGTGCTGTGAGAACAGGGGGAAGTGTGCTCTGAATCCGAGGTGTCAGGGGAAGGGAGAAGACTCAATATGGTCACACGGAAGAGAGGTAGGACTGGAGAAGAGAGGAACACACGTTGATTCTCCTGAAGTCAGCGGGAAGTGGAGCCCACTGTAGGAAGACGAGTGATGAAGTGTTTCCTGGCTGCCCGCTCACAGGCTCCTTTCCAGCACCGGCAGGGGCAGCGGAGAACGTGCAGAGCTCTCCCCGGAGCACCAGCCCCTGGCCGCCAACAGCGAAGCAGTCTCCTACCTGGATGTGAGTCATCCTGGGAGGTGAGGCCTGAAGGACTGGACCCCAGCTCCAGTACCTTCCACGTGTCCTGAAGGGAGCTGCTGGCTGCTGACCACGAGCTCTGGGTGTGGGAGCCGGTCTGCTCCTGGAGCTCCTGGGCCTGCGGTGCCTGGGGACACAGGTTCTCCTTCTGGCGGCCAGGCCTGCAGGTTGTTGTGGGAAACTGTGGCTGACTCTGAAAAAGTAGGAAACAGTCCTTGGGGGTCGCCGGCTACAAATGATCTGTGACCTGCAAAGCGCTTTGGTTTGAAAAGGGGCTTTCTGTACGGACATTATTGCTCAAAGCATGTTCTAGCAGGCTGCCCCCAAACATTCCTGTGTGCTGGTACTGACAGGTCTCTACACTGTGCCTCCAAACCCCCTGTGTGCTGGTACTGACAGGACCCCACACTCTACCCCCCAACACCCCCTGTGTGCTGGTACTGACAGGACTCCACTGGTGCTCCCAATCCTTCTAGGTGCCGGCACTGACAGGACCCCACACTGGGGTCCAAGTGATGATCTATGCACGAGCCAAAGAACACTATGTGCATGGGGCCAAGAGGAGGAAGGGCCCAAAGGCCCCGCAGTCCTGTGCTGGACTTCTGCCTCCAGACCCGTGATCCCATAAGCCTCTGTGCTGCCCAGCTGCCCATCATGCCCTCTGTACACGTTGCGCTGGAGAAAGTCGTGGGCCCTGGCCCAGCTGCCCCAGTACACAAGGATGGGGCCTGATCCTGCTGAGCCGTGACAGGGAGGTGGCTGGAGGCCAGCTTCTGCCTGGAGCAGTGGGTGGCAGGCTCTGAAGGGATGCAGGGGTGTCCGGGCTGCACTTATGAACCAGATGGCACAGACCTCAAGAAATGACTGGGAGCCCAGGGAGCAGCCACCCAACTGTCAGGGAAGAACAGCACTCGCTCCAAATTCTCGTGCTTGGATCATGCCCCACTCCAAGCCAGGTCTACGCCACCAGCTTCTGGACGGGTACAGCCAGTGCACAGCACTGCCTGGCAGGACCTGTGGATGCCTCCTCAGTGAGGACAAGGAATATTGAGCCTTGCGCTCCCAGCACATACTGAGAAGCACGTGACAGGTCAGTCACACACACGTGTGCGTGCACCCAATGGGCAAACTGTCAGCAGGAAGTAGAGATGAGAGAGCGGGTCCAGTTGTCCACTAGGAAAAACATGCCACTCGGTCCAGGCCATTGGGCACCAGGTAGGCCTATGGGCCACATCACACCATCCTATTTCTTACAGGCCCTGGTAACAGTCTTCACCTTCCTTTTTAAAAAATTATGATTAAAATATATTCCCCTCCACCATCTTTAAATAGTTGAAAAAAATTAAAAGAATATTTCACGATACTTGAATTTACAGGAAGGTAGTAACTCAAAGTAACACAGTCATACCCACTTGGTGACACATGGCGGGGCACACAGCCATGCCTGCCTGGTGGCAGATGGGGGGCACACAGCCATTCCCACCTGGTGTTAACATATGGGGGCATACAGCCATTCCCACCTGGTGGCACATACAGCCTGGGGCATACAGCCATGCCCACCTGGTGGTACACACAGCCATGCCCACCTGGTGACACACACAGCCTGGGGCACACAGCCATGACCACCTGGTGGCACATGTGCTCTGGTGACATGTGGTCTGTGGCTGCCTGCTGGGCCTCTGCAGAAAGCCCACCAGCCCTGCCCAGAGCCCCACCCCACCAGGGCTGACGATGGGGAGCACGTGCAGGGGACACTAAAGGACGGGCTCCCTTGATCTCCTCGTGTCTCCTTGGGGCAGTGGCTGGAGGCAGCCCCGTAGGGCAAGGATGAATGTCCACTATACGGGGCTTTGCATCTTCCCACATGTCTGGTGAGATTTATACTAAAATTAATTAATCTGGTGGCCTTGTGGTAAGAAGCTGTGTTGCAATCCCAAAAGCATGAGGTTCAAATCCACGAGCTGCTCCAAGGGTGGAGGACGGGCAAGCTCCTCCTTTGTGACTAACCCCCTCTGCAAACCCATCCGAGGGTCAGACAACTCAGTGGTACACAAGAACCACAACGACAACAGCCACAGAGTGCAGGACAAACGGGGACAAACAGGAAGACGATTCTGCAGCGGAGCAGAGCCCGAGCCAGCAGCGCTGCAGTGTTTAAAGCAGTATCGGCAGTTCAGAGCCATCCCGCTCCCCCAGGGCCCAGGCTGTAAATCACAGCAATGGGACGGGAGGAGACGGCTTGCCTTCCATCCTCAGAGCAGCTAGTGTCTTCAAGCTGCCTGAGACACGCAGCCTTTGCATTAGCTGCGCAATCCGCCCCAGACTGTGCCACCAGCATGCTTAGGGAAGAAACAAAGGCCTTTGCAGCCAAGCAGGTATGTGTGGAAGCCTGGAGTCGGGGAATAAACAGGGAAGAACTCGCTCAGCATTTCTCAAGTGGAAAGAAATTAAAAACAAACGCAAGCCTCACAATACTAAGAGATGCTAGAGGCAAAATGCTGAATAATCCAGGAAGCATCAAAAGAAGATGGAAAGAGTCACTGCATAAAAAAATTGGCCAACTCTGAAAAACTTCAGGAAGGGGCACGTGAATGTGAGCCAACGGTTATGAAGGGAGAAGTTACAGCTGCACTGAAGAAATGGACAAACGAGGCCCAGGAGTCGATGGGATGCCAACGGACACATTTCAACTGACAGATGCAGCCCTGGACATGCTCGTAAGTCTAGGCCAGGAAGTTTGGAGGACAGTTGTCTGGCTGACTGACTGGAAGATATTTGTTCCCATTCTCAAGAAAAGTGATCCGACAGAGTGTGGAAATTACTGAACAATCCAGGAGTTGACGGCATACCAATTGACATATTTCAACAAACAGATGCTGCCCTGGATGTGTTCACTAAATTGTGCCAAGAAATCTGGAGGACAGTCAGCTGGCCAGCTGACTAGAAGAGATCAATATTTTTTCCCATTCCAAAGAAGGGTGACCTGACAGAGTGCGGAAATTATAAAACAGTATCATTAATATCACATGCAAGCAAGATTCTGCTGAAAATGATAAAAAAATGACTGGAGCAACACGTCAACAGAGAACTGCCAGATATGCAGGTTGGGTTTAGAAGAGGTCATGATACTAGGGATGTTATAGCTAATGTTAGATGGATCTTGGAAGAAAGCAGAGTATCAGAGGAATGTCTGCCTGTGCTTCATTGACAGTGCAAAGGCTTTTGACTGTGTGGATCACAACAAACTGTGGCTGACTCTGAGAAGAATGGGGATCCCAGAACATTTGATTGTGCTTATGTGAAAGCTATACTTGGACCAAGAGGCAGTTGTCAGAACAGAGCAAAGAGACACTGCATGGTCCAAAACTGGGATTAGGGTCTGCCAGGGATATATTCTGTCTCCAAACCTTTTCAATCTGTATGCAGAACAGATCATCTGGGACGCTGGGCTGTACAAGGAGGACTGTGGCATCAGGATTGGTGGAAAATTCATCAACAACCTGCATTATGCAGATGATACAAGCCTGCTTGCTAAAACTGAGGAGGACCTAAAGCGCTTGCTGCAGAAGGTCAAGGACTGCAGCCTTCAGTATGGATTGAAGCTCAACATCAAGAAACAAAGATTCTCACCCCTGGGCTGATTGGCAGCATCTTGATAGAAGGTGAAGAGACTGAAATTCTTGACAGCTTCAGTTTGCAATCAACACTCTTGGTACAGAAACCAGGATATTAAAAGATGAATTGCACTGGGAAAGTCAGCTGTCAGGGACCTCTCAAGAGTACTGAAGAGCAACAACATCAGCCTGGAGACTAAGGTGTGTCTGATCCGGGCTATAGTCTTTGTAAGTGTGTGCTATGCATTGGAGAGCTGGACAGCCACTATGGATAACACAAAGAGAATTGATGCCTTTGAGCTGTGATGATGGAGAAGAGTATTGGACATACCATGGGTTGCTAGAAGAACAAACAGGTTTGTCCTAGAGAGGGTAAAGCCGAGCTGCTCCTTGGAGTCAAGGATTCTGAAGCTTCGTCTGACATACTTTGGGAGTGTTACAAGGAGGGACCAGTCCTTGGAGAGGGACATCATGTTTGGGAGAGTGGAGGGACAGTGCAGGAGAGGAAGACCCTCAGTGAGATGGATTGATCCAGAGATTGGAGTAATGGGAGTAGGTGGTAATGGGAGTAGGTGTGTCAGAGACAGTGAGGTTGGCACAGGACAGAGCAGGGTTTAGGGCTCTTGTACATAGTAGCAAGCAACTCGACGGCACATAACAACAACAAACAACATCATCAATATCACATGCAAGCAAAATATTGCTGAATATCATCCAAAAAAACAGCTAGAACAGTACACTGACAGAGAACTGCCAGGAGTTCAAGCTGGGTTTAGAAGATGTCATGGCACCTGAGGGATCACTGCTGATGTCAGATGGATTCAGGCTTAAAGCAGAGAAAACAATAAAAATGTCTAGTTTAAGAAAAATCAGATTTGATTGGTACAAGAGGAGATTGCTCCTCCTTCTCCAGCAGAGCAACTGGTGGATTCAAACCGTGTACCTCTGGGATTGCAGTGTAGAACTGGAATCTTAATTATGCTCATACAAAACCTCTACCAAGACCAAGAACTGTTATCTGAACAGATCAAGGGAATACGACACAGCTTAAAAACAGGAACGGCAGGCATCAGTATTGTGTCCTTTCTTCAAACCTATTCAATCTGTATGCTGAGCAAGTCACTCAAGAAGCTGGACACTACAAAGAAGAACGTGGCATCAGGGTTAGAGGAAGACTCATCAATGACCTTTGTTACGTGGATGATACAACACTGCTTACTGAAAGTGAGGACTTGAAGCACTTGCTGTAGAAGATCAAACACAGCAGCCTACAATATGGATCACATCTGAATGTCAAGAAAACAAAAATCCTTGCCACTGGACCAATAGGCCACATCATGATAGATAGAGAAAAGACTGGAACTGTCAATGACTTGGATCCACAGTCAATACAGTAGGTAACAGCAGTCAGGCATATGACATATGACGTTGCGAGAGTCTGCAGTCAGGGACTTCTCCAAATCACTGAGGAGCAATGATGTCAGTTTGAAAACTAAAGTGTGCCTGATTCAGGCCATGGTCTTTTCAATCACTTCTTATGCATCCGAGATCTGGAAAATGAATAATAATGACTGAAAAATTGATACCTTTGAGTTATGGTGCTGGAGAAGAGTGTTGAACGTCCCGTGGACTGTCAAAAGAACAGACAGAGATGTTTTGGGAAAAGTGCTCCCAGAGTGCTCCCTGAAGTCTCACAGACTTCAGACATGTCGCTAGGAGAGGTTCTTCCTTGAAAAGGGATGTCACGCTTGGATAGGTGGAGGGTTGGCAAAAGAGGAAACCCCTCAATGTGCTAGACTGACACAATGACCACAGCAATGGGCCTGAGTAAATCAGATGGCGAGAGGATGGCAGAGGATAGGATGGGGTTCAGATCTGTTGTTCACAGGTTCGCTGAGTCACACTCGACTTGATGGGACCTAACCACCACCACCGAGCTAAAGAACAGGGAAATAAAGAAAATCCATATAAATCTTATTAGCTTAAAAACACCACCACCATCCACAGATTAAACAATAAAAATAGTAAAAAATTGAAAGGCAAATAGGAAGATTTCCTAATTTCCCAGGAAAACTAGTTTGGGAAGGATTTATAATAGACAATTAGTAATTCCATGAATATATAAAGTGCTCTCACAGCCAACAAGAAGAGTAGAAACACACGGTAGAAAGATTAACAAAGGATCTTGCCTTGGACTGAACTGTGTGCACAAATATGTGCCCACGTGGCTGGGCCACAAGTCTCAGTGGACTGGCAGTGGACTGCTGAAGCCATCACGCCACGAAGTGATGTGATGTGATCAGCCCTGACTGAGTGTAAGAGGGCGAGGGTGGGGGCCACACACTCACTCAGGGTCCAGCCCTTCCTGGTCTGGGGAAGTGGAGTTTCCCTGGGTGCGTGGCCTCCATCATCTTTTGTCTTACAAAAGATAAAAGAAGAGACATGGGAGCAGAGGCAGGAGACTGACTAGCTCCCACAAGGAGAGCTGGGAGGGGCCCCTGTCCTTTGGATTTGGGGGCCCTGTGTTGAGAATGCCTAGAATCAGTGCAACATGGCTATCCAGACCCATGGAAATCTCTGAGGAATGCCAGGCCCACAGACACCAAAAGGAGAAAAGGACCCTTCTCCTGAACTGTGAATTACCAATGACAACCCAACAACACGAGGGACTTGGTCCTGTGACTCAAGAGGCCCGGTGCAACCAGCTTCCTGGCCAATCTGGGTAAGTGGTCCAATAACATGGCGCGTTCTTCTGCTGTATTTCCCAGTTTGTCGCAGGGCATGAGAGGCCGTTAAAAGCCTGCACACGGTCACCCACAGCCAAACACAGCCTCTCCGCCTGGGGCAGCAGAGGAAGAAGCCGGGTAAGGAAGATGAGGCAGCAGCAGGGCATGTGGTCGACTGACTCTATGAACAACCTCCTCTGTGACCCCAGGATTGGGTGGGGCCAACAGAAGTCTTAATCGAAAGAGGGGAGATGGAGAACAGAACATACTCTGATCTTTCTGGAGCCATGGGGGCCAGATGAATCCCCAAAACTATTTTCCCTAAAATAATCCATAAACTTCAAACAAAAACCAATATTAATTTAACTAGTAAAGAGTTCTGTCCTAAACCTTATGTCCTTTTAACATCTATCCAAATGGAGTCCAAATGACAAAAGCCCCGTGAGAGGCAGGACACTGAGGAGAGAGCTCCTATCATGGGGAGGAGCAGGCGGGGAGGAAGGAGAGAACGGCTGCCCAGCTCTGAGCATTGAGTCAACATCAGACTTGTCCACGTGGGAACAGGCCCAGGCCTCCATGACAGTCACCATGCATTCAGTCTCTCTCCTGCTCCAGCAAGACCTCAGGCACCATGGAGAGCTGACGAAAGTTGGATGCATTGAATGGGGATGTGTTCTGCTGTGTATATTTTCAACCTTGAGAGAAAGGAAACTCATGCACAAGGAAGCCCAATTTTAGAGGCCGGATTGTTACCTGAATTGTGAAATGGGGCTGCACCTGTCCCAAGGGCAGGCCACGATCCAGAGGTGAGCCAGGATCCGCAGCTGGGCTCCAGGCCTCCAGGGCAGGGGAACAGGAAGGGTGAGGTAGTGTCCCCGAGGTTCCTAGAAACCAGAGGGAAAGAGTTTGTTCCCTGTGAGCACCCCTTCTGGACTTCTCTCTTGTTAAATACAAACACTCGACAAGAACAGTGAGTTCCTCTCCAGAACCAGAGCCCCTGTTGTTTCACAGAGAAAGCCAGGCGGGGACAGGGTGGCTGTCTCCAGGCTCCTGCAGACCAGAGGACATGTATGCAGAGCACTGTACCTACATGGCCCCGCTGCTTCCAGCAGACAGGCACTGTCTTGGTCACCTAGCCGCTGTGACAACCACCACGGGCAGAGGACTTTCCCAAACAGAAGGCATCCTCTCCTGACTCAGGCTCTGGAAGTCAAAACTCACGGTGCCTGTGTCACTTCTGGAGAAAGGTTCCCGTGTGCCTTGGCATCACTGTCTTCCTGGCTCTAGGAGGGGCACTCAGCATGTGGGTTCCACAAGTAACAGTGCACAGAGGGACGGGGGACACTTGGTGTGGGGGTCCCATCAGTAATAGAGTACAGAGAGACTGGGGACACTCAGTGTGGGGGTCCTATGATTAACAACACACAGAGGGACTGGGGGTATTCAGAGTAGGGGTCTCATGATTAACAGTGCACAGAGGGGTTAGGAGCACTTGGTGTGTGTGGGGGTCCCATCATCAATAGTGCACAGAGGGACTGGGGACACTCGTGGGCTCCTTTCAGATGATACCGAGTCCCCTCCTCTCTGCTAGCTTCCTTTCCTTTAACCTCTTCTAACATAAAATCCGATTCAGGCCACATCCCAGGGAAGCTCAGGGCCATGACCTGAGCAAGGAGCTGGACCCTGGCCTAAGCCCCAATATCAGATGAGAGCTGCGCACCTGGGCCCCCATGGGGGATGGTGACACCATCACATAGTCACCTCTGGCCTCCTGACACCGAGCAGTACAGCCTCAGCACAGTAACGTGCCTGGCGGTGGTGGGGGGCCACCCAACAAGGCATACCCACCCTAACAGATGCTGAGATGGGCTCTCAGCAGCACAAAGATAAGCGGTGAGTCTGTGCAGTTCAGAGTCACGGCCAGAAGTGATCCAGCCATGCAGTAAAGACCACCAACGACCATGTCAAGGGTTGAAAATCCCTGGAGAGCTCAAGGGGCATAGTCCAGGGCTTGCTGCTAATCCTGAGGCCAAACCTGTCGAGTGCACCAGCAGCTTTGAGCGGGACTAGCAATCTCCTCCTGGGTGAAGTGCAGCCTTGGGAACTCCTGGAGGCCCAGCTATGATGAGTTGGTTTCAACTTGACAGCAACAAAGTCCTGATGAATATCTTGGAACTTTGTCTTTAAACTGATAGACCCTGAACAGGTGGCTGTTGAAATGTCTGTGGGATAATGAACCAATCCAGTCGAGCACGAGCTTCCTGAGGACACAATGGCCTTCTGCCTGTATTATGGTGTGCACACGAGTGTGTGTGTGTGTGTGTGTGTGTGTTGGCTGCCCAGGAGGGGTGTGTGTGCACCTGTAATGTGAACATGAGTGTGTCCATACAAGTGTGTGGTGTGTGCACAGATGTATGCACACACGTGTTATGTGTACATGCCTAGTGTGTGTGCATCTGTGCACATACGTGTGCATGGAGGAGGGTGTACGTGTGTGCATGCACTGACTTGGGAAGAAATCTTGCAAGAGCATGTAAGCTGGGAGGTCAGCACCTCAGTCGCCGTCCAGTTGGTGTGGAGGTGGTGACCCTCCCCCCAGCACTGGTCCCAAACTGCACCCTCAAGGCTGGAGCCCAGGTCCTGTCCACATTCCAGCCTTTTCAGCAATTGCCACGTGAGCTGTCCCTCAATGTCCCTGCTCTGCTGGTTTGAGGATTCATTGCAGGGGCCACACAGAACTCACAAGCCATACAAGTGATTATGGGGCTCGTTAGGGATGTGACAGGTTACTGTATGGGATCAAGAAAGACTTGGAAGGTAGGTCTTCAGTCTCAGCTGTCCCCACAGGCAGACCCCTTTCTGGCAGTTCACCTTTTGCCCCCAGGCTCTGTGGCGGACTGGCTTCTGTCCAGTTCTCCTACATGGTGCCTGGGGAAGCTGCTCACAGGATCTCCACTCTGTGGCCTGGGAAGTGCACGTGGCCAGTGCTGCTGCTGTTTCCATCACAGCTTTTCTGGGACTTCCACAGCCTCAGGCATTACCATGCTGGGCTAGGGGGTTCCAAAGGGGCTGATCCCTGGCCAGCTCTCTTCCTGGCAGCTGACCAGGTTCCCCTATCCACCTCGGAGATGGGATGGGAAAATGGACCTGCCCCTTCACACGTCGTGGTGACTCGAGATGACAAAGCCGCAGGCTGCCTGCCCCCCAGCATCTTCCCAGTCTCTATTCTGGAGCCCATGTCACCATGTTACTCCATCCTGTGGACTTTACGAACAGGATGGCCGCCGCTGGTCCTTCCAGACACTCAGAGTAAGCAAGGTGGAACGTCCTGCGTGCTCTTCCTCCAAGACAGAGGCGTGCATTCCTGTCGACGTCCATGGGACGGCCAGGATCTCCAGGGACAACATGGGCCCGATGGGGCCTCCTCCTTCCTCACTCCGCAGGATCAAGCCGGGGGACCGTGACCACCCAGGGGCCATCTCTGTCCTTCCAGTTCTTATACATCCTCATTGATGAACATGCAGTTATTCGGGCCTGGTCTACTACTGAGACGCGCCTTCAAGTTAAACATCGGACTTTCCCCCCCAAAATATGAAAAGTCCCAAGAAAAACAAAATCTGGAAATGAATTTACTTTTCTTGGCTTATAACATCCAAGTTTAACAAACTGTGTGTTAAAAATCTTGGACAAACCTGCTTCACTTGAGTAGGTGTCCTGTCCTGATTCTACTTGTCGCCTTGGCCTGGAAGACAAGTGACCCCTCTCCTCCCATGTTGCTGTTCACCCGTGCAGACTTGACCAGGAGCCTCTGTCCTTTACTGGTCCCTACGGGGCCTGAACCTACTTGGCTGCCCTGTCAGTTTTCAGAGGCAGTAACTGGCAGGGGAGGGGACTGACCATTTTTCTCTGAGGGAGCAGCTGGTGGATTCAGATCCTGGCTATTTAATAAAAACAGTGCTCCTTCCTTAAGAAGGAACCAGGCTGGGCTCTTTATAACCCAGTTAGCAGTGGGGTCTGTTTCTGCTTTACTTCTTTGGGGTGGCCAAGTTCGGCTTCTGAGGCACCAAAATCCTTTGAAAATCTCCAAGGCAGGGTCAGCAGGGCTGCCTGGTGTGTTGTCCTCATGGGAAGGGCCATCCTCCTCACACAGGAGCGGAGCATCTGCTTCTGCAAACAGAAGTGATCTTCCTTCTCCTCAGCAGACTCCCCGGGAATTGGAAATGTTCTGATTTTCATGATAATGTGTATATTTGCAGTTTTTTTTAAGTTCGGACAGACAGGAAGCATCCATAGGTTGTTTCCCTTCTGGAAGGTTCCGTTTTGAGAACTACTGCCTTTACTGAGGCAGAAAGGTCACATCAGAGTACCCAGGGACACAGCCACCCAGAGAGGGTGGACAGTGAGGGCTGGGCTGAGCTTGTTCAAAGCTGTGAAGACCGCGACCACAGGCAGAGTTCATTCTGACTCAGAGGGAACTTGGTGGCAACAAGGAAGGGCGCTGCTGGTGGGTCAGGAACCTTGGGGGTATTTTGGAGAACTGTTTAGAGAAAGTCAGGGAGGAGGGCAATCCTTAAAGAACATCACGGCGGGAAAGGCGGAGGGTCAGAGAAGGGAGGAAGACCCTCGATCAGATGAGCCGGCACAGTGACCGTAGCCAGGAGTCAAGTACGCCAGAGGAGGTGCAGCCATGCAGGACACACAAGCTCAGATCTGCGCAGGGTCGCTGCTACACAAGAGAGAGGGTTCAACAGCACATCATGACAACAGCAGCTGCTGGCATGGCAGCGGAAGCATCAGGCTGCTGAAAGGCCAGGGGTCTGAAGGTACCAGCTGTCCTGTGGAGGAGTGGCTGCATCCAGGTGTGAAGGCTGTCAGCTCCTGACAGCCCAGGGGCAGCCCTACCCGGTCCTGCAGGAGCCCAGGAGTCACAGGACTGGAGGTGTGTGCAGTTATGTGCCATCGAGTCGGGTATGGAGGCGACGCAGGAGAAAGCTGAGCTCCTGGCAGACTTCTCAGCCTCAGGACAAGCAAATGTGGGCTCAGAAGCTCCAGGCAGAGGCCTGGAGTCAGCTCGCAGTCAGCAAGGAAGCCCTGTCCCCCTTCTCCTCCCAGCCTGGGAAGGTAACATCTTTGACCTCTGCTCCCGTGCAAGTTTCTGCCTCAGAAAACACTCCGGATAGTGAGCAATGGGTCAGTCCTGACTGCACAGTGCACACCAACAAAAGAGGCCACGCAGTGCCTGTACCCTGAGGGCTGTGCCCAGTGTCTGGGCACTGTCCACACAATGCTGTCAGGACCTCTTGTCTCTCTGTAGATGGTGGTGAGGCTCGCCCACAGCGGGCCTTCCCCTTCCAGCTCTCAATCAGACTATTTGAATCTTCAGCAGAGGGACGGGAGGAAGTTCCAGAAAGAACTCACAGTATCTGGAGTCCATCTCATCCATTTGTTGACAGACTTGCAAATTCTGCCTTTCCCTTGGAGCCTGGACTGGCTTCACCCCTCCACCTCCCCAGAAGAACCAGTTTAACCTCTGTTTGCAACTCAATTCCTTTGCTCCCAGAAAGGTTGTGTGTGGTTGTTTTTTTGTGTGGGTTTTTGTTTTTTCCTTTTCTTTGGAACTGGTGTGACATCTGCACAGTTCTCTCGGGTATTAGCCAACACATGCAGTAATGATGGTATCATTTTCTGAAAGCTGCTCTCTTCACGTGGTTAAGGAAATATCAGGAGGACTTGTGCTGAGTGGCAGGGTGTGGGGGGCCCAGGAAGGACCCTGTGCAGCCCCAGCAAGTTTAGGAGAAGGCCGGGTACCCTGAAGGAGCCTCTTCCAGCCTGCAGAGGAGAGAGCAGAGGAAGCTGGCCACATGAACCAACTGCAGCCACCTCAGAGGCAGGCATCAAACAAAGCGTTTTAAAAACCAAAGAACTTGAAAACTCCCTCCAACACAACTCTCAGAGGAAAACTGCCTGAATCCATGTAAAAAGGCTCAGGGACGTAGCTGATAATTGAGCCAGGCGACTCTGACTCAGGAGCCCCACTTACCAGGACAGCTGCCTCTGGGCTCCCGAGCTGTGACCTCTGAGAGGCAGACTGCCCTGCGTAGGCTCTGAAGGCCGACTTTCAGTCCACAGGTGTGCGAGAATGCGCTCAAGCATGCGCCACCAGGCCTTCTTACATAGTCCAGGGGGTTAATGCTGTCGTTGGGAGGCGCTGTCTAGTCCAGTATGGCTCACAGCAACCCTATGAGCAACGGCTTCAAACCTTCCATGCCCAGTGCCAACCTCTCCGTTCGGATATGCTTATCCCTGTGGCTGCGGTCACTGTGTCAAAGCACCGTGCTGAGTCTTCCTCTCTTGCTGACCCTTTACTTTGGAAGCATGATGTCCTCTTCCAAGGAATAGCCCCTCCAAACAACACGGCCAAGTATCTGAGATGAAGTTCCCCCACCCTCGCCTCTCAGGTGCACTGCAGCTGCACGTCCTGTTCGCTGGAATCCACAGGGCGGCAATACCGCAGCTTTAGAACCTGGCCAGAGCTACCTCTGAAATGAAGACATGTGATTACTAGATTTAAAAATGAGTAAAATAGTGTTAACCCCCCACTCAGGAAACCAGGTAGAGCCAAGAAAACAAACTCAAGGAAAGGGATGAGAGGTGACATGTCACCTTTCATTAAGGAGCAGAGATGTGGCCCCACGGGTCAGATCAGGTGACCCTTTGAATGGTCATAGGGAGAGGTCTCTTGCACACATCAAAGGCATGTTGGACCCCACACAAGAAGGAAACAGGAGCAGTGTTTGAAGAAACAGTGGTTGAGCCCCTGCAAGGCTAGAAAACAAGAAAGCCTAAGTCTGAAGACAAAACCACAGCAATTGCTGAATGAGCTGAAGCCCAGCCCACTCAGACACAATGGTAAACGAGAGCTTCTGAGAAGCTCAGACGCCAGAGGTGGAAGAGACACCCCCTCCAGGGGGCCTGGCCAGCCCCGGACGCCTCAGGGGACAGTGGAATAGTACCTTTAAAGAGAACGGCAAGAAACTGACCACAGAGCATTCAATTTCCAGATGAGCTGAGCTTCAAAGATGTGCCCGATACGGAAATGACTGTCCTGAAAGAAGTGTCTGCTTGGCCACCACCTGGACACAGGGCAAGGCCGAGGTCCCCAGGGCCTCAGGAGAGGAAGGCGCGCCCTTGCTGCTGACCCAAATAAAGTCATGTGACTGGCAGCCTCCCCAGCCTCCAGTGAACAAGGAGGCACTGTCCCCAGTAGCATGGGCTGCGGCCATCACAGGGCAGCTTCTGGGCAGATGGGGGAGTGTGGCAGGCGTTCTTACCGGGAGGCCCCACCATCCCAGTGCAGGCTTCCTGAGCACAACCCCTTTAAAGAGAGAGCAGCAGACAAGCGCCCACCATGGGGCTGTGGGCCAGGCCAGCCCAGGTCCGGACAGGGCCTTCTCCCCTCCCAAAGGGCTGCCTCTCCAGGTCCAGGGCCAGCCTGGCATGTTCCAATAAATTGTTTTACAAAGTGAGAGACAGATTTATTATCTCTAAATTAATATGCTTCTATAGTAGGATTTAAAATATACGTACAAACATATATAAGTCAACGCAGATATACACTTTAAATAGTCACTGACCTACATATGCTGCCCACCAGTACCGGACAAATAGCTAGTCATTTAGGAAAAAATAAAGTTAGATTTCATGTGTATATTTCTTTTTAATTAAAAAAAAACAAAAAAGTTAACTAGATGGACCATAGATTTAAGTGTATAAATAAATAAAACCCCAGAAGCACTAGAAAACAGCTTGAGTAGTTTTCATGATTCTGAGTTTTTAAGTAGAAAGCTTAGCAGAAAACTTTTTTTTTTTAGCAGAAAAACTTTAAAACACATGAAATGAAAACTGTTGGGTGGAAACACCACAACCACTTCACCACCAGCAAGACTACTGAAATCACGAAAGGGCAAGTGAGGTTGGGAACCCACAAACTGGGACGCAGGGTGGGAAGTGCACAGTGAGAGGACGGTCAGCATGGGACCCTAAGACTGC